GCGTTAGCATTATCGTTAATATAAAGAAGACCGATATTAAAAGGTAATGAAAGTTATGGGTTTCGTTTGTACGTCTCCTAATGCTTTTACCATCTAATGTATACTGCTCAGAATCTGACCGATTTATATACTTATAGTTTTGCAGCAGTGGATGATTGTAGCATCAGAAATAGAAGTACATCTCATTTTAAATATTGTCCTTAGGTTGCACTCGGTATGCTTATTCTTCTTTCGTAAACGCTGAGGAAAATGTTAATTTTTTAGCGAAGGGATATCGCTCGCTTGCAGCCATTACTTATTAGTTTTGTATTTCAGACAGGTATTTATGGCAAGCGTCACTAAGCGGATGTTGTCGCCGCTGTTGGCACCACCGAAGATACCACAGTCGCTTCATCCATGGCTTTATTCGACCAAGAAATTGTCCGCGGCTCAAATAGCAGATGAGGATCCACAGCTGTTGCCAAATGCCGACGTTTTGCATATACTGCTGGCGAAGTGTCTGCAGCAGAGTTGGGTTCTGTCGTCGGTATTTGTGATGGTCGAGAAATTTACGCGTCTCGGCAAAATCCGGAAGTTCATTAAGGCGTTGATAGAGGTACGCTTAATTGTCATTTGTTATGTATGATTTTGTAAATATTTTTTTCATATTCTTCGTTAATGATGCATGCTTTCAGTGAAGCCGTCTGAGTATGTAGCTCATCCGACATTTCAGTAAATCCTCTCAGGATCTCTAAAAATCCCTTCTGTGGATTCGCGGTTGTTGTTTCCTCTACTGATCATTACTTTGAACCTTTTGTTTGGCGCATAATTTTTCAATAAAAAGATTTAAGGTGTAGTGCACAGTCCCGTTGCTTCTATTTTCCTCGGGCTTCGTTCTCCAAACTTCAGATCATCAGCCATTTTCAATACACGGCTGGACGAAAGGTTCTAGGATTTTGCCACATAATGACTTCTGTGAATCTTATTCATATTGCTCTAACAAAGTTTTTTTTAAAAGTCGTCTTGCCATTCATGTGGAGGTTTTCCAGCGTGATGCTTACTCTCTCTCTTAGAGCCAATCTAATGTGTCTTGTCGCCCAGCCATGGATCGTTCTTCTTGCAACTTCTCCAGTCCCTCGCCATTTGAGTTATTCTTGCAATGAAATCATAGATCAATGTTTGTGCTTTTATCCTTTCATCTTGTTCCTTCTAATATGCATCTTTTTTATTGCATTGCGTACCTCCGTTTTACCTTTGATTTTCAAGCTTTGCGCTCATACATTAGCATTGGTAGCACACACTGATCGAAGGCCGTTCGTTTCAACCAAACTGACAATTTCTTAGATAGAAACATTTTAAGCCTTTCAAACGCACTTCATAAAATGTTTACTCTTGTTCATTTTGTAGAGTCAGTTCTCCGTTGCAGAGATTAGGTGTCCTAGATGGACGTAGTTTTTCAGCCGTTCGATGACTTCAGTGGGTTGTATGGTCACTTATTCGTTGAATATTACGAGTTTCTTCACGTTGATTTTCAGTCCTTGTTTGGATTCTGGCATCGTTCAGCTCTTGTATTTTTCTCTGGATACTTTTGAAGGACTTTTGAGGATTGAAACATCGTCGAAAAACCGCAGTGGTTTAAGTAGTACCCTTGGTTTTCAGCACATTGAAAATAAATCTTCAAACTTCAATAAAACTTTTTTTGATTATGTAAGTTACTTTATTGATATTTCCTCAGCGTGTTCATGTTAGATAGCACTCTATTTTGAATTTATTGATGCTTTTAATGTAGATCTTGTAAATCATGTCGATGAGGCATTTGCATGTTTTCTCGATTCCCTGACTCCTCAGAGCATTTTAGAACAGATCGAGCATAGATAGCTGAAATCCTTGTCGAAATACTTGCTCAGAGTGATAGGCCAAAATTGCTAGTATTTTTAAAGGATAGTCAAGATGTGAAGAAGAGAATTGACGAACTCTTTTTCAGTTACAGCTCAGGCGGCTAAGATGCGCACTGAAGACTAGTTGCTCCGAGTATTTTAGCCATTTTGCGTTATAAAGTTATTGACTCTAGATTGCGTAACTGGAGGAGGATAGGATCTGCTGAAAAAGCCGTCCTACAGCTAAAACGAACTATTTCAAAGGAAATAACTGTTATTATGAATGGATGGTTGTTCTTCTTCCTTAAGGTATACTAACTCACAGATATTGTTTCGTTTCAGATTCATACAGATTTCATACCTGAAGTTTCTCACTGATTATTTGAGGCCTGTAGTAATTCTTCACCTGTAGTAATAAAAGTGGTGCTAGTCATTGAATGATCTTTAACTTTCTTTTAATAATTCACACTGCAGTAGTGAGGATCGGGTACATGCGTTAGTCCGTCTTTGTCGGCATTCGCATTTTCATTTGGCATGTAGCTTTCGTCGACCAAGCGTAGATACGCCGCTTATGTTTAATCAAAAGTTCCAAGAAGCTGCTTTTATTTTGATATATGTCTTGCCATGAAAATAGCAATTTTACTGACTGCTTCTGATTTGTTCTTCATCATGTATTGTAGTGGTTCGATGGTTATGGGCACAAAAAGAATACAGATGTTTAGGTATTAATTTTGTTTCTTTGCCAGGATTTCAGTTAAATAGCTCTTACCGGCCCATGTTATATGCAACCTTGTGCTATGCCAGTTTTTTAACCTAATTAATGAACAGTACTGCCGTTTCTAAGCGTTGGCGGTTGGAATTGATCTCTTAATTGCACCTATGTAATCGTCGAATCATTACTAAACAGTTTTTTCTTTCACTTCTCCGTTATATCCTTTGTTTTTTTGCTTCATTGCTTCTCTTTTTCTCCCCTTTCATCTCTCTTCTTCATACCGCGTTTGTTTTTGTTTTTTTCTTGTCTTCTACGTTTTCTCCATGCTTTAGTGGTTACGTATTTTTAAGGAATTGCAGAAGCTGTTCGCCCAAGAAGAAATAATTATTTGGTGCGATCTGACACTGGCATGCTGCTTGGTTTCACCGAGTCGGTGTTTATACGCGTGCGTCGATGCGATCGTAAACTTTGTACTCGAACCTGGCCGAGATCTGTTTTGCGTGGCACCGCGGGGCCCGGTTCTGGCTCATTTTCTGGTGCAGCTCTATCTTATCAGCTTGAAGTTTTGTTCCTCACAGCTCTCTGACATTCCTTCTGACTTGGTCGAAGGCTTCTCAGACTCACAGCTTTGCGAACCGGTCAGTAAAATGCCAAAGTTGGATGCCGAACTTGGTAAGCTTAATCGCGTTTATTATTTATATCCGTTGTGCGCGACCTTCGTAGTTATGGCTGTTTTTTTAACGTGGCAGAAGGAGGACAGAAGTTTAATACTATTTTGATGTTTAGCTAGACTATCACAACCAAGAAGGCGATAAGGTTCCATCAGGATGGTCCTAACATTGCTGCCTCATTTATCGGCCTTTTTTACTGTCTGATGCTGTAAACAATCCCCCCCGCAATTTCCCTGAAACTGGCGTGTTTCCGAGGATCACAGGATGATTTGGGACAAAAAACGTCGTTTAGCAAACGTGTATTGTATATTTTGTTAGAAATAAATTATTGAATTTATTGTTTTAGTTATTTAAATTAATTCAATAAAGTTGATCTGATGAACCTTAAGTATATATCAAAATAATAGGGAATTAAGGCTAAACTTACCGGTCGATCGCCGGGTTGGAAAATGATTGAGTTTAGGGTCACAGTAGAAAGTTTGAAAAACAATGCACTAGAGACTGAATAAATTAGATTCGAGCTCGTAGTTGGCTTTGGTTTTTGTAGTGATTTTGTAACTGGACACAACCTAGCAGAGAAATAGCATTTTGATAGCAGGCTGCTACGCAGTGACAAATCTAGCCATTCTTTCAGAGAAGAGGCGACAAAATATATACAGATCAAAAGATTACAGAAGACCTGGATATATGTCACCATTGGTTGTCCTGATGCAGTGTGAAGCAATGTGAAGGATATTTCTGCTGAATTTTTTTTTGTCACTTTTCCATCGTCGGTTGTTGCCGTTTCGTCTAGTCTGTGAATCACCGTTCTCCACCGAGGTCATGAGGAAGCAATTTGCGAACACAATTCTGTGACCGTAGTTCTCTTACTTCCATTTCAGTTTGCAGCCTGAGTCTTATTTTTTTGCTGCTTTAACAAGCACAAGAGATTTCAAGAACTCGTGGTTGTCATTGTCCTGTGAGCCAACCATTTATGTTTTCTTGATGAATAAATTAGACGATCATTAGCGTCTACCGAAGTCAGTCGGTGAAGCGATTAAGATCGAAGAATTGCAGAAGGCTACGCTGCTAAGAACAGCCCAGGTTTTGAGAAGAATAACTCCTTCTTAATTCTTGGTAAAGGAGTCGAGCTATGGAGATTAACAAACCATCAGTGATCCTTTCCTTGAAGCACGATGAAAACAGAATAAGTGTAACGTCTTTATTTATTTTGAAAATTTTTGTCATGAATGTGAAAATGCTCTACGACGTTATGCCAAGAATTTCAGATCGTAATCAATCAACCGGCGCAAATAAGATTATCTTTCTATTTCCAGATACTGTATATTCGTATTGTTTTGTTGTTCCGCTCTTTTTCCTCACCAGTGTCATGCTTTGTTCGAAATCCTTGTGGTCTGAGGAAATCGTTGTGTTATACTTTCTACGAAGATTATTATGGGGCAGACCAATGATCCTTATGCCTGATTTTGTTATAGAAGTGTTCATTTCCAGACAGAATTGACTGAAGCTGCCATCTTGGCAGCGGTAATGCCTCACACTAGACGCTACACGGTACTACGCTATGCTTCTGGCC